CATAAAGGACACCTGAGATGCACCAAGATCAAATTATGAATTCTTTGGGAATTAAGCCATCATTAGAATTATAATGAGAAAACGCAAAAGAACACTTTAGTAACTGAAACGCCCTAATGTATGTAAGGATAGCAGTGGATAGAAAGCTTACAGTAAAGAAGACAGTCCTTCCTGAATTAATTCATAGATTTCATACAATTTCAATTCAAATATCTAAAAGAACTTAATTGCATCCATTTGGAAATTAGATGAACAATGTTCAACAAAAGTCTATTATAAATCAATAATAATAATTAAAACAGCATAATGATGATTCAAACAATATAAATGAGTTCTTTTGAAGAAAAATAAAGAGCCCAGACCGAAATCTGAATATATTTAAGAATTCAATGGGAAGGAAATTTATGTAGTCTATTTGGATTTAGGAATTAGAAAAGTCACCTCAAGAAAAAGTAAAGAAAGGAAGATTACCATTTTGGAAGCACGGTAATGGTTTAATTATGGAGTAATGAGAACATACAAAGTGTTATACGACCAAATAAAACTATTTAAATATTGAGAACCTGATTATGAACCTGAAAGAGAACATTAAAATAAAAAGGGAAAAATAGGAATATGAAAAGATGTGTAGTAAATGTGACGGATAAAACCAGGATATCTCAAGTGAATGAAGGAACTTAACCAGCAAACGGCACCAAACCCGTGGTACACAGGTGGTCAAGACGTGTGGGTGCACCTTTCACAGAACGAGACTCACAAGCAAGTAAGTTCTTGTGAAACGTTCAACCACATGTGCAGATTTTAACGATAGTGAGTTACCAGCTCACCCCTTTTGAATATGAAAAATGATCCAACAGCTCTGGGAAGCTATGAAGAATACAGCTGGTATCATCATAAAGATTATAAAATGATTCATCTTTTTGTTCCCACAATATGACAACTCGCAGCTAGAGCCAAAAAATGTACCCGCCCTTTGACAAGAAATCTAATTCCCAAAAACTTGCTTACTGGAAATTATGCAAAAGAAGAGAAAAGCATTCACTAGAGAAATACTATGCAGCATTATTAAAAAATTAATAAGTGAGTAGATAGATAACCAAACTCTACCCAAAAATCTAACATAAAAAAATTGAGACCTCCTTCAGGGGTCCCTGAGGGAGAAGGTAAGTCAAGTGCACGATGCTCTCCTCATCGGAGCCCTGCTCCCGGCCCCCATTTCCTGAGTGTGAGAACCAGCGGAGTCACAGGTCAGGTTTGTTTTATCGTGTGCTGTTCTTTTATCTGCTGGGGCAAGAGGTGACCTTTGCACATCAGAACTCCTAAATAAACATGAGGTCTGCGTAATGCCTACGATCGTCACTTTGCCACCTTGTAGCATTCGTCACTTCCTCTGTCGTGTAGAATGAAGGAAGGTGTAGGTGTACCAGGATCGCATACACTCAGTTCCCTCCCCCTGAAGTGGGGTTGGGAACAAACACACCACAGAAGTGTCTGTGGGTCCCACAGTGAGGCGGGAGGGAAGCACAGTCTCTTGAAAAGTCCTAGGATCTAAAGGAGTTCTCATTCAGCAAAATAGCAGAAGTAGGCAGTTGGCATCTCTTGAAAGAGCATTTGTTAAATGGACAATGTTTTGAGTAAAAACAGGCTTAACAGGTTGATTTACAAACTAGTGATCGGACACTGGATTTCAACGCCCCACACGCCATAGAAGGCCTTCCCGCCACTCTGGGTGTCAGCTCTCTCCCGTTGGGAGCATTAATGCCACCTTCCCAGTGGCATGTGGATGTGTGTGAGCTCATGAGTGAGTCGGTGGGCCAGACATGCAGGCAGCAACTCATTACCAGGCACCACGAGGGGAACGAAATATTCCACATAAGTGTATTTTCTGAAAAAACAGAAGTTTATGCTTTAAATTTGTGTTCTGTATACCCTCAGTTTCTTAAACAGAGCATAATCATACATTTTTATGATGAGAACTATTTCAGTTCTGAAGCTTCACCTTAAAGTTAATAAAGTTGTTAAAGTTACTAATAACTACTGATAAGGTTTGTGTGTGTGTGTGTGTGTGTGTGTGTGTGTGTGTGTGTATTGTGTGTATACAAGCAGAAAAAAAATGTAACACTGTATAACTCCTAGGACAACATAATTAATTAAAAAATAGAAACGAAAAATGCCGGCTACTAAGATGAAAAATGCAAAGTTAATATAGTAAACGGACTTAAATTATCTCAAAAGTAAGGAAATTGTTTCAGGTCAAGAATAACGGTTATATGTTGAATGAAGAATAATCCCAGAACTTTCTGTGTTCTTTACTCATGAGGGAGGCAGATTCTGGACCGTTACCTTTCTGTGTTCATCAGAGGGCTGCAAAAGACCCAAACCAAAGCATTTTACATTTAAAGAGCAGTGTAGCCTTTTTTTCTTTCTTTCCTGATACTCACGTAAGTCAGCTTTCTATAATTTGATAGGCACAGTTGTCAGTCAGACCTTTAATTTCCTAAAGGTACTTACAAAGCCCCAGCATTTCTTTAATGTGTAGTTGTGGCAAAGACACATCGGAACAGCTTTGTTTGTGGACATAGGTTTAGTCTGGCGTTGCCTCATCCTGCATGACCTGGCGCGTGTGTTCTCCTGTCCCGTGCCCTGGGCAGACAGGACTAGCTGCTCAGATGCTCAGCCGCCGGATCCAGGCCTCGGCTGGCGCCCCTGCAGCCTGGCTGGGTCGTGGCAGCTCTGCCAGCAGCTGTTTCTCCGTCTTCGCTCTGGGTGGATGTGGGGTAGCCTGCTGGCTGCTCATCTTTTTAGTGCTAAGTGTTGTCACATAAGAAGGTGGCATTGAAACAAGGTTTTTAGAAAGTATTATTTAAAGGGATTGATTGTTTCCCATGCAAACCATGTCTGGTCCCCCATCCCCTTAGCCAACTGACTTGCACAGGGAAGAACAAGGATCTCTGTGGAGTGTGGGAGCTGTTTCTGTGAGGTTCATACACCCACACCTGTCTTTTCTTACAGCAGTGCCTGTGTCTTTGGTTTCATGTCAGTAATGACTTGGTTACTGAGTATTTATCATCACAGAACTAAGCTGGGGGGGAATAAAGCCTGCACTGGAAAGGGCCACCAAGATGGGCCATGTCACAGGCAGTGTAGTGTAGTTGGAATCAGGCCATGGTTTGCATTTTTACATCCCAGCTTTTCAGATGCAAAGTGAAGCCCTCTTTGTGAAATTACATTACATTGCATGGGCTTCCAATCAGTAGGGCCTGTTTCTCCCTGAGGAATGTTTGAATGACTGCCAGTAGCAAGTTCTGTTTATGTCAAATATGTGGATATTTTATGAATTAAGGTAAAAATAGATGAAGCAAGCTAAGACGTTTTCATCCATATATTTACACTGTTAATTGAGACCATTAGACTCAAATATATTAGAAAGATAGAAACTAGTTGAATTATCACTGGGTTGCATAAAATATGGATGAGTCAGTGGAACGCTTTTAAAAAGTAAGAAAAACTCTTGACATTCCTTTTTTTGTCAGAAGTTAAACTCACAGTGGAATAAAAATACATCGGCTGTTGGGGTGTGTCTGTGTGTGTGTCTGTGTGTGATGTGTCCCCTTACTTGGGGCTGTCAGAGCAGAGGCAACCCAGACCCTCCCCACCTCACCCACAGCCGGGATGCCCCCATCATCCCTGCCCCCACCTCTGCCAGTCACATTCTATCACATATAGGAGGCAGTGCCCACTTTATGCTGTTAACCTTAATTACTAATTATTTCCTCATATGCAGAAACCAAGCTGGGAACATGATAGTCCCTCAGGGATGTCTAGTTACAGAATGTTTGTCATCTTGTAGAAGATTTGAAGTGTGAAGAAGGACATTCTTAAAGCTTAACAGACATGTTAGTGGAAGGACATCGCGTGCCTGTCACGATATGACAGAGAAAACGCATGGCCGGAGAACGTCTGTACCATCCATCACTCCCTGTACTCTCAGCACAGCGCCCAGGAGGCACGGCCTCCGATGGCCTTTCCAGCCCGGTGCCCCTGGAATTCCAGCCCAATTTCCCTCCTGTGCCCCTGGCAGCCTCCACCATCACCATCCTTTCTAATTAACGGGAAGTGGGTGACCCTCTGTAAACCAGACAAGCAGGTAGCCTCGTTAGGAGGCACGCCCAGCAGCCAGAGGGAGACAGTGGGATAAATTAAGAACAGAGCCCCCCTGATGCGGACCCCAGTGCAATTTCTCAGCCATTAATCAAATGGTATGAAAAAGACATCACAGCACTAATACACCTGCTGTATACCTCGGATTCCAACTGTAGGCGTGTCCGCGTGCTCAGGCACCAGGGGTGGGGGGGGCGGGGGCCTGTGTAATTAATACAGTCCTCACTCTCGCCCCCACCTCATCAAAACAGGACTTTTTCCTGCATGCCAGTCAGCATTTCTGGAGCAGAACAGGGCCAATCTTGTGCCAATGCAGAATATTATATTCCCTTTCCTGCCCAGCTCTCGAATCATTGATTGTGGAGGTCCTGGTGCCCAGAACAGAAGTGGCCCCATGCTCAGATAAAGCAGGGCAGTCACACTGCTCGTGGTTCCTGTATGCCCCTCAGACCATCCTCTACGGGTTTCTAGTGAGATTACAGAGCTAATCTGTCACCACCACTATCTTTCTGTTCATGGAGTGGGTCATTTAAGCACACCCACACTGGTCACGTGGTCTTACTGTTGGATTGGCATGTGTGTGGCATGCACTTACCTTTGTTATAAACGACCACACGTGACATGTGTGATCTAACCACAGTGTTTGGCATTGCCTCATATTGGCTCTCAGGCGCCTCGGTTTAGCAGAACATGTACACACATGCGCAGACACGCACGCACATGTGGACACAAGCTACACTTCACAAGAACCCCATTATTAGAGCCTTGGGTGAGCCCCAGAGGCTCTCAAGTGCACAAAGATACAACTGTTCATAGGAAAATTCTAAATCTTATTTCAGGTCTTGACTCAGATGAAGAACTGGGGCTGCTCTGCCACCACGCGTCCTATCTAGGTGATTGTTGGGGCCGATCGTGGGCTCTTGATAGTCTGTAACCTTTTCTATTTCATGTGTCTGCACGTCTGCATGGTTTCTCGAGCTCGGAGGGTTGGGCACGCCCAGGGGAGATGTGTCCTGGCCATTGCGTCTCAAGGATGCTCTCTGGGTTTGGGAAGAGCTTGAGAGGCTGTCCCCTTGGTCCTGTAGGTCAGCCATGTCACTGTCCAGCGCTGTGACCTCATGCACCATTAGCAGCTTTGGCATTTGTTGGGACGTGGGGAGAAGAAAGCAAATTGGCTCCAGCAAATCCTGTATCTGCTAATTGTCCCCGTGGCTGCGATGTGCGTGTGCCATACAGCCCAGGACAGCCAATCTGAATGCTTTCTGACTGTCAGCAGCTTGCCTGAGTTTGTTTTCCTTTGTTTTGTTTTAAATGGGGCAATAACCAATTTGGGGGCGGGCAAGGCTTTATTTCATTACTAAATTCGTTTCCACGAAGAACTATTGCCTTGACGCGGTTACGAAATCCTTCTTCTGTGTGTCTCCCTCCGCAGACCAGAGAGTGGCCTCCTTCTGCACCCTGACAGACGTGCAGCACCGACAGGGCTTGGAAGGGGCCCAGGAGCTGCCACTGTGTGTCGATCCAGGCAGTGACAAAGATTTCCTGGACACAGCTGGGTATGTGAACCCCTGCCTTCTCTGCTGTCCCAGGCGCCAGAGACTAACAGGTCAGCTGACCCCAGGCAGCCAGGAGACCACTGCCAGGTGCACCCTCCCCCAGTCCTCCAGGACCCAGAGAAGGGACTGAGTGGGACTGACCCACTCCTGTCCTGCTGGGTGGGCGGCACTTAGCTGCTCTGCCCTGTGGGTGGGTCTTGCCTGCGGGACGTGGCCCCTGCCCACGGAGGTGAGGCTCACTGGGGTCGTGTCTGCTGCCCGATTACTATGACAGCACCCATCAGCCTGCCCCCTGCCAGGCCAAGTGTGCTGACCTGCCAGGGCCACGTTTCCTCCCGGAACCCTGGTCCTCACCCCAGCCTCACACCGTTCACTGAAGTGTGTGGAGAACGAGCTATCTCTTTCCTGTGTTCTCGACGTGCTCATCACCCGTATTATACAGTCTGTACCTGTGCCATCCGTTCCTAATTCCAACTTCTCTATGAACTTGAGTTACATTAACTTGCACAGTCACCTTGGTAATGACAGGGAGAAACATTGGGGAAATTGAATCTGTATTTTGCTTCCCACCTTCATTCGTATCTACCTAGTCCCGGTTAGCCACACTCACTGAAGTCATCCACCTTTTGTTTTCTTACCAACGTACATGCCGAGAGAGCTGCCGAATCCTTGTTTTAAAGCAACAGACCTCCAGGAGGGCTCTTCCACCAAATCAGCAATCTGTCCACTCCAGATTGGACGTAATAGTAGCCATTTCCTTGCTGGGCTCTAAGCACATGAAATAAACTTCTGAGTAAAAGTTTTACCAGCAAAAGCTCTGAATGAAATGCCTCGGTGCCGTGTACTGGCGTCTTCCTAACCGTCCCGATTCGCAGGGAGCGGCCGCCATCGACGCTGACTGGTAAAGTCAACCAGCTGGAGCTGATCCTTCGGCAGCTGCAGACTGACCTTCGGAAGGTAAAGAGTCCACTTACCTGAAATCTGTTACCAGATCTCTTTCTCTTACACAGTCAACCCCTTCTAACTACTAGAAATAAAAATGAGGTGACTCAGGGAAGATACCTGCTCTACTCAGCACCCAATAATAAATGAAAAGTCTCCTGAGGTTGAATTCTGTTTTCTGGTCCACAGCTAAGAGATTTCATGGTAGGGGGAACACAGGATCCCAATAGATGTGACTAAATGTGGTGAGCTCCCTGCGCGGCCAGTCTTCACAGAGAGGCAGACTCGCACAGCAGGCTAGCCGGTTTGGGTTCTGTGGGTTATCAGTCACACTCACGCTGTGAGCTGACCTAAGAGGAGTTAGCTGCTCCCAGAAAGCCTGGTCTCCCCAAGCTGCTGTGTCCCCACCAAGTCCGCCTCGTGACTCTTGGGACTTCTCATCTACACATCAGTGTGTGTCTGTGGTCAGTCCTCAAAAGAAAGTCAAGAATTCATGTGCTGGGCGTTTGTGTCTTCAGCGCTGTGCCGGATGGCGTCGTGCTGTCCCAGGAACCGGTGTGGAGCGCAGCAGCTGGGGGTGATGGGCGGTGGGGAGGTGTCACGGGAGGGTTTTCTTACTGTCGTGGTTTTGTCTGTTGAATGGGAGAAATTGCAGTGGGTGTGACTGCTGATGTAAATGACCTAAGTCAGGAAGGAAAGAATGGTGAGGCTGAAGCAAGAGGGTCATGCCTGACCCGCGCACAGGGAGGGAGCTGGCCTCGGACCAGGGTACAGACAGTTCCTGAGTCGGTACCAGAGCAGAGCGCATGTGTGTGCCTGTGTGTGTGCATGTGCATGTGTGTGCATGTGTCTACATGTGTGTGTGTGTGCATGTGCGTGAGTGTACGTGTGCCTGTGCATGAATGTGTGCCTGTGTGTGTGCACCTGTGTGTATGTGAATGTGTGTATGCCTGTGTGTGTGCGTGTGCCTGTGTGTATATGTGCACACGCCTCTGTGTGTGTGTCTGTGGTTGTGCGTGCGTGTACCTGTGTGTGTGTGTACACACGTGCACCCATGCCTACATACATACACACACACATAGTCCAGACAGAGATCAGTTGACAGAGTCCTCCACCTGTTGTTTCTTTCTTCCGCCATGAGCTGGAGTGAGTGGTGGGAAGGAGTGTGAGAGGGGTAAGCGCAGAGGACAAGGTGTAGATAGAGGCTAAATGAACTGGGTATGTTTGGTAGGCTTGCCAAGTGAGGCTGAAGGTACATCTGAATTTGCAGCCTATAGTAAAGTGATATCTTTCGGTGGAGTTGTGTTTTCTCCAGCTCAGATGAACAACTGTCCTAGCTGGTCTGGGAGAGAGGTGAGGTTTCAGAGCTGGAACCTGGAAAGCCCAGGCCAGCTGGGGCAGCTGGCCACCCTGCCTCCAGCTGCAGCTGTAAATTGGTTGGAGAGTTGAAGTTAACCAATGTTAGAGTTTAGACAGGAAATTAAGACAAGGAGTGAGAGAGAAGGACCCTGGGGTGTGTATAGGATGTGATTAAACTGAGGGACCCAATGTCTAATATTGTCACTGCATGCGGTGTTGAAGGACAGTGAAAATAAGGTAAGTTTGGTGGATTAGACAATTATTGGATTATTGGAGGAGTGGATATTGGAGAAATTATTTTTTTTAAAGAGGTGGTGGTTAGTTAGTGGGAGCTTGAAGCATTTAGGAAGTTAACCTGTTATTCATAATACCAAGGTACAGGTCATGGCCATGGGAGTGGAGGATACGGGGGGGCTGGGTTTCAGCATCAGAAAGAGGAAGTGATAGACAGGATTGGGGGAGATCATAGAGAGGAAGTGATAGAGAGACTGGATTTGGCGGAACATCTGTGGATTTGGGGTCATCAACAAACATGATGGGGGTGAGGAGAGAAAACGTGAACCACATTCTAGAACCTCGCATGAATGACAGGACATGCAGTAGATCATTGCAATGGGGGCAGGTATGATAGCCTAATGTCATGCTTCTCAGGGGAGCTGGAAGTTTAGGGAAGGGCAGCGAGGGCCGAGATGGTTCACTGCCCAACCCGCAGGCCTGTGCTCTCCAGGCTATGCGACACCGACCTGCGAAGTGGTCTCTTCGGGAGAACAGGAGTCGTGTACAGCATGAAGATGAAGGCACTTTTAAGAAAGAGGCTGAAAGTTGAGGCTTCAATGACAGGGGTACAAGTTCCATGGTCACAATAAAGGATGGCGAGGGGTCTTAGAGAGGCGGGCAGCAGAGTCTCAGCAGGGATGGAGACGTGTCCCGTGTCCTGTTGGGAAGGGGAGTCCCCATGATGGGGCTCACATAGGAGTTTGAGCCTCTTGTAGTGACTGAGGGAAGTCCGGACATGGAGTGGACTGAGACTGGTCTTACGGGGAAGTCAGGTCCAACTCGCAGACTGGTGTCTGTTAGCCGAGTGGTGAGGCAGGTGGGCCTGGGAAAGGGCCAGGAAATAGAAGTGAACCTCGAGGGTGGTGCCAGACCTGCCAAGGGTGGGAAGGGTTCCCTGAGGAGGCCACGGCCGCTGGCTGCCCCACAGCCGTCTGACACTGTGCCGCCGCGGCATCTGCCGGGTGCAGCAGTCACGTTAGATCTCATTAAAAAGTACCAGCTGGTATGATCTGACAGTGGCCCTGTCTCTGTTTCGGGCAGGACACCCCTTTCAGCATTTGGAGCTGATACATGTGTTGTACGCTTTTCCTTACTGTGCGTTGCAAACTCCAGACATGATTCTTCTGAAAAAGCTTGATTGTTTTGACATAGTTCTGAATGGCGACCTTTGAAGGTCATTGTGGAAATACACTAACAGGAAAGCTTTCGGGCAGAATGAAAGGCCTTACTAGAAACACACGTAGGACCAACAGCTACGTGAACTCCCATTTTGGTCGAGTTAGGAAGTTCGCCCACAGCTGCGCGTGTTTCCAGGGCACTGCTTTTAGCTCCTCACTGCACTGTCCCTTTTCTAGATGATAATTTCGGCCGTGACTAATAACCTTGCTATATAACAGCTGCCTTGATTGCCGCTGGGAGCAAAGCGGGATGAGCGCAAGGAGTGTGTTGAGTTGTTCACCCTTCCCTTTGTTTTTGGCGGAAACCACAAGTAGGCAAGTCACCTGTCAGGAACTCAAATCCTGTCTCCCCTCAAAAAATAAATCAGTAAAAACCAAGGGTCAGGCCTCATGCTGAGCTTAGGAGGGAGCGTGTGGGGCCACAGTGACAGTGTGTGTGCCTTCCCCAGGAGAAGCAGGACAAGGCGGCCCTGCAGGCAGAGGTGTGTCACCTGCGACAGCACAACCAGCGTCTGCAGGAGGAGTCGCGGGCGGCATCGGCGCAGCTGCGCAGGTTCACGGAGTGGTTCTTCAGCACCATCGACAAGAAGCCGTAGCCCGTGTCCCCCGCCCGCGCGGACCGGGAGGCGCCTGGAGGCCCAGGAGCCATGAATGTGCGTGTGACTGTGCTTTCGGCCAGGCCCAGTGTCTGTGCTGTCCCACCCTGTCCAGCACCATCGCCCCGCAGGAGGGAGCATAATGCTTTCTCGGCGGCCGGCCTGTGACAGCGAGAGGACGCCAACGTGGAGATGAATGTAACTCCGTGTGGAGATTAATGTAACGCTGGCGTCAGTTTCGACCTTCCCTTTGGACTCTAGGAAACGGTGCTCTGGCGTGGGCTTACCTCAGGCGGGAAGGCAGTCGGGTTTCTGTCCTATGTATCAGGTGACCTGTAGAGATGTTAAAGCAATTTCCCATAGTTTGGGCTTTAGTATTGTAAAATAAACACAAAAACAAGTAATCAGACATATACTTTAATGTTAAAGGTGCTCTATTTTTTTGGATGTACAGTAGTTTCCTCTCCATGGCCACATTATCATAGCAATAAGAGGGGGTGTCGCCAATAGTCGGGAGAGCCGTGTCGGGGACGCTCAGAAGCACTGACGTGCTTAACACTCATTCAAATGCAGTAACTTTAGAGACTTATTTATTTGCAGGAGCAAATGGTGCCTGAATATTAACAGTGTTCCGATTTTTTTTTTTAAAGATACATATGCCTTGTAAATGGCTCAATAGGAGTCACTTCAACCTTAGCTCACTTTTGTATAGTTAACGCTGTGCTGAAAGAAACGTAAACCTGCTTATCACTCGAACTCTCTCCTGTATGCTGTGAGCCCACGGGTCAAGTGTACAATGCCAAATTATCTTGTACAGAGGCTTTGATGAAGTGTCTTGTATTTAACACCCTTATTTAAGCTTATTTAACCTGAAATTGTTAACTTTATAAATGATGGTTTGGCCTGCACCCTGAGGAGGGAGGTGTAGGTGGCCCCGAGCTCAGAGGAGGCTGGGCTTTGCCCGGATGACACGAGGACCAGGGCGGGAACTCTGACAACGGATGCTGCTAGTGACAAGTTGTTTGTATTGCTTTACCATTTTTAACTGTTCGATTTGAGATGAACGTACACTTTGCTTTTTTAATAAATGTTTAAAAGAGTCCACATACATAATGGTGTTGTCAGGTGAATATAGATTTCTATGATCTACTATGTCAACAATCTGAGTGTATGTGAATTTATTTCGGGTCATTTAGGTTCTTTACCGACACTGCTTGGCCTCCTTACAGAATCCCCGCCTGACTTCAAGTAAAGGAGTAACTAGTACCCTGTTTTTCCAAAAATAAGACCTAGCCAGAAAATAAGCCTTATCGTGATTTTAGGTGCCAAAATATGGCACCTTGGCATACTGAATATTTTAAGCTGAAGGAGTTTATGTAAAAGTCACCCTTCTCCCGGAAACACGTCATAAAACCCTCATGTGAGGGGTGTGTGCCCTCCATATCCTGGAGGAATCATGCTATGGCTTATTCTTCGGCTAGGTCTTATTTTGGGGGAAACACGGTATTTATGAATAGCTGCTATGTGCCTGACACTCACTCCCCTCTGCGCTTTACACCCGTCTCATGTAACCCTAACCATATCCTTACTGGATAGTTGGGAGGGGTCCTGTTTTACAGCTCAGTAACCGGGCTCAAGGTCAGGGATTTACCTAAGGTTGCCTTCTGTTTTTTTTAATCAGCATCGTATTCAACAAAGAATTTAGTGTTGCCTACAAGAAAATACATACAATAAAACAGTAGGAATTTGAAAAATCACCAGGGAGGGGTACACTGTAAATTTGAATCACATGTAAGACAAAGAAGAACGTGGGCCCAGGTGGGACAAGAACCACAATAAGATGCAACGTTCTCACCCTCCTGAGAACAGAAACCGTATCAAGAATCAGAGGAAGCGAAGCAATTCTAGAGTTGAGCCTAAAAGGGACTCCCCTCATGGACTTCACACAGGAGGTCCTAAAACATCCTTTACGTTCCTGCAGGAGACGCCACCCCGGCTTCACAGGGCGGGGGCTTGAAGCCGCTCTCTGCAGATCCAGGCTCACGCCTACCATGTGCTCAGTAAATGCAGGTTCTCGGGCCAGGGGGCAAAAGCTGCGTCCCTGCCCCTCCCTCTCTTCCATGTCACTGTGACTGAGGAGCCAGCAGCAACAGGGACCAACCTGTCAACCTGTCTTCATGGAGCCTGCGATCCAACATGGGGAGACAGGCGAGAGATTATTTCCGTATGTGAGAGACAAACATAGAGTGCGTGGGGCAGGCTCATTTAAATCAATACCATAATAAGTGACATTGTTTGTGCTGGCCACTGTTCTGAGCCCGCCGTTATCTACAAAGCGACCCCACGGACAGGAGATTTCTGAAGGTTGAAAGAGCAGGCCGTGAGAAGTTGGGGGAGAATATCCTAGGAAGAGAGTTTGTGGGGTTCAGGGCCCCCAGGCCGTGGAGAGACGTGATGGGGAAGGTGGTGGGGTGGTGGGAAGGACCCGTGAGAGCCAGGTGCTGAAGCCCCCAGGCCGCTAAGTTAAAAGAAAGCAGCACAACGTGATCTACATTTTAAAAGGATTGTTCTGACTTCTGCAGGAGAAGCGGGTAGAAGAAGACAGGCCAACTTGTCCTTGTCCGTGTAGCGCATGTACTAAATGTAAATAGTTTAGGCTTTGGAGCCACATACTGTCTCTATGCTGATTTCCAAGGTGGAGGGGAGGGGCAGGTCCCACTTGAAAGAGTATTTGTAGCTAGAACCCAGAGACTGCTGTTGGGTTGGAGACAGGAGGGAACGCTGTGATTCAGGGAGATACCCTGAACTGGGAAGGGGTGTCCGAGCGGCATGATCTCGGGCCTTTGATAAAATTTTCACAACAGTCAGTCACGCTCTCGGCGAGGACTGGACGCCGGCTCCTCCTTGTAGGTCAGAGGTGCTCATGCTTGGGGGCAACTAAGAAGCTGGGAAGGAGGGTTGCTTAGAGAAAATAAAGAAATCTGACCTAAACCCTGCTGAAAGGCTGGCCTGTGGATGAAACCAGAGGGTTTTGGTTTTGTTGTGTTTTTTGTTGTTTTGTTTCGTTGAAGAACTACTTCTCAGTTTACACCAGCAAAAGAATGAATCACCTCTCATGTCAGCCTCCCAAGAATGTGGCCAAAGGGTCTGGCCTGTTCGGCGTTTTCTCAAATGTACGTGTCCAGTCTACAACCAACCCCAGAAAACCCTGTCATGCTCCCACTGGGCGTGTGGTTTGAGCAACTTGGCATCTTGTGAACTTACAAATGACCCCTTAGCTTAACGTGTTGACTTTCTGTGAGGACTTACTGCGTACAAACTAATTAAATATTGGAATCTGTCAGTAAAAATAGTTATTTTAGAATAATTCATATCAAGCAATTTTTTTTCTAACCAAAGAGTGCTCTGTTCTGTAGTAAGGCCATTTTAATGTGTGGCAAAGCTAATTCATATATTAGAGGCTTTTTTCCTGCTCTCCTCAGTATCAGGGAGCAGGTTCACTGTTAAAAGTAGGTTATATTCAGGGGCGGGAGGGTGGGTGGGGGTGTGTGCATAACAACACAGTCCTGCCTTTGTGATATCACAGTTACCTTTTGGGAGGCCAGGGTCTTGCTCAGCTGGCCTTTTCAAACGCAGAATTTGATTCCATGTCGTTAACAAGGAGTGTCCAGGAAACTCCTGGAGCCACAGTTGTTCTTGTCTGTAAGAATCATGGCCTTGGTAGGTTTCTTCACAACTAGAACTATGGTCAGTGGTGAGTACTTGAATATTAAAACCACTTGCTCTTTGTGTAAAATACTTTCCTGAGAAGCCTGGGGCTGCAGCTTAAAGAGAGAACAGCCATAAAACTTGAACTGAACAACCAGTCAGTTCCCTTGGTACCAACAAGGAAGGTATGTCACTACAAACGCCGCTGTCTGTGACAGAGCCACCCCCTTTACCACAACAGTCACCATGAAATAACACCCATGCAAACCTCTCCAAGAGACGAAGGGCCACCACTCTCAGTCCCAGCTTCCGGAGATTATTGAGTCATCTCAGATCCTCTAAGATCAAGCCAGTGTTTGTTCTTCAGAATTTTCTAGGTGGAAGAGGGGGTTCGGGAGGAGGTGATGATTTTTCCAGACGCTTTGCTTCTTTGAATGACTGGTTAGTTAGATAGCCCATTTACTTGTGTGTTTGTGGATTTTGTGCTTAAATTTAAAAGCATTCCCCCCAGTTCAGGCATGCTACTTGCTGGCTGAAAAGAAAGTGAGGTTGACTGGGTTTAATTCCATTCATGATTGGAGGCAGGTGGGAGGTAAATGTTTGCTTACGCTCCACAGGAGGAAAATAATAAGAACCCTTCCAAAATTCAAGGAATGCTTAGGTTTCTGACCCATGACCTCCAAATTAACCCACAGACCAAGCTCCCTGACTTTCAATAATAGGAATTAGGTAGAACTTAAGCACAAAGAAAGTCTCCTCATGAATTTTATAAAAGGTTTCAACGAGCTTATTACCAAAGGTGACACTCTTGCATTTTAACATTTGGGGACTTTAAATCCCCTCCAGTTCAATTTAATATCAGAAAATGCACTGTCCCCTTAAATCCTTACAGTTAAAGTTTTGATACAACTATTAGCGTCTGCAGACTAAAGACACCGACCTGTTTTCCATCCCCAGTACCAAAGACCTGCCTGAAGTTTGCTGAGAGGCTGGGTTCCTCAGAAAAGCACGTGGGAACTAACCAGCCCTTTGACATGTGAATGTCCTTTGGGGCTAAGCTGGCTTAGTTGGTAAAGAGCGCAGTTGAGGGTTAGATGAGGCATCTGTTCAGGAGACCCGTCCACCGGCTGGTAGGCCCCGGTGTCAGAGTTCTGTGGTGTTAACACCAGCTGCTCTCCCAGCCCTCCCCTGCTCCCCCCAGCTAGTGAAACCGTGGGGAAGGCTGTGTGCTGGAGTGGGGGGTTCAGACTGCAAGCATTTCAGTGAGTTATCTGCCAGGACTCAGTGCTGGCACAAAGGGAACAGCTAGAAGCACACATCTGCAGATGGAGACAGCAGACCCTGGCGGGGTGTCCTCTGTCACCACGTGTAGCATCAATTGGGTCTGGGCGGCTGGGTCCTCGCCCCTCTTTCCCACCACCATAATCATTCATAGCAAACCAAGTAGATGTAGCTGAACGCTCCATCACAGCAGAGGAATTAAACAGGAAGTCACGTGCCCTTCTAGGATCTGATAATCACCTTGCAGCAGTCACTACTGAGCCCCATCTGGGTGGAGGGCTTGCCAAACAGCAGGCTAAAACCCACACCCACTTCCATGAAGACCGAACCCCAGGAGGGGGCATTCTGTAGCCCCCTAAATTAAGCGCTGGAGAGCAGCAGCACAGGAAGCAGCCCTTCCTGCAGCAGGGCGCAGAGGTCCGCGGGGTTAACCCCTCAACCCCCACTTGACCCCTGCTGGCTGCCATTCTGAAGCTGTCTGGAGGCCATCTTTCAGCCAACACCGTTTGAAAACCATTTTACTTCTGAATGGCTGTGAGAGGGGGGTGAATGGAGGGAGGGCTGGTGGGTCACTATGCGGCCACCCTGTTAATGCTAATTCCATTGCTGAGCTCCGAAATGGAGCGTTTCTCCCCCAAACAGATTCTTACTCTGCTCTTTCAAAGCAAGAGCCTCTTAAGTAATTTGCCCTCAAATGTAAAATTGAACTAAACTTGGCTACCTTGATTGTCTATGTCTCTTTATTTGTATGAAGATTATTCCTGCCAGTGACACTGATTTCCAAACGTGAAGTTGTGCTGTTTAAATATTATCCAATAATGTACCATGTATGGAAAGAGGTCTGCAAGGGTCCTGCTTTCCCTTGTCCCAAGAATCAACTTGGGTGCATAAAACTTACCTCATATAAATACATTGTATTAATGGATATGAACATGGAACTTACAGATCCGTATTTTATTTACGTAAGTGTTTGCAAATATACATGACCATTTTCAGTATTCTTGTTCCACAGTTTTAACTTGCCCTGCCCTCCGGCAGCTACTCTCGGCTCTTGTAGAAACTTGTCGCTTCCATTCTTCTCTGAGACACCATCCTGTGTGGCCCGTTCCCTCCTGAATTATGCCTTGTGATGAGCTGTATTATAAATGAAAAGAATAGGGATGGGACAAGTGTTGGTGAGGATGTGTAGAAATTGGAACTCTTATGCACTGTTGATGGGAACAGAAAACGGTGCAACCACTATGGAAAACAGTATGGTGGTTCCTCAAATAATTAAACATAGAACTACCAAATCATCCACCAATTCCATTTGTGGTCACTACCCAAAATAATTGAAATCAGAGACTTAGATATGTGCAGATCCATGTTCACAGCAGCAATAGTCACAGTAGTCAAAAGGGGGAAACAACACAAGTATCTACGGATGGATGATGGATACACAGAACGGAATATCATACAGCCTTAAAAAGGAAGGGATTTCTGACACAGGCTACAACATGGATGAACCTTGAGGACATCATGCTAAATGAAACAAGCCAGTCAAAAAAAGACAAATACTGTATGATAACACTCCTATAAGGTCCCCAGAGTCATCAATGTCATAGAGACAGAAAGTAGAGTGGCGGTTGCAGGGGCTGGGGGAGGGGGATGAGAGCCATTGTTTAATGCTGAGTTTCAATTGGGGAGAAGAAAACAGTTCTGTGGGTGGGTGGTGGGGACTGTGGCACACAATACGACTGTACCTAATGCCACTGCGCTAGACGCCTAAAAATGGTTATGACGGCCAATTTTATGCATATTTCACCACAGTTGAAAATGAATAACTTTTTTTAAAGGTGAGGGGGTAGGGATCTGACTGAGTAATTTTTGGGGACTTGAGTTGGATAAGCACAGAGAGACCAGAAAGCTGAATGTCACAAAGATAAAGACTTGTTGGAACAAGTTCAGGAAAATATAGAACAGCGTCAAAGTGCTCTTTGGGTGTTAAAGGGCAGCCAGACTTTGATGAATTGCCACATATTTGGAGAAAAGAGACGTCATTCCAACAAGCTTTGCTCGGGAGGCCCACAGGAGAAGCGATGGGGAGAAGGAGGCTTCTCTCTGCAGAATGATTAATTTGGTAATTAATGCATAGAACAGGAAGAATGACTGAACTGTTTGCTCCAGGCCCGAAATTTGAACAGTTCGCTCTGCAGTTGGAGCATCTGGTGGGAGAGCGAGGTTGGACGAGCCAGAGACTGAGCTCAGATGCCAGGCCAGCGGGGGGAAGAAGTAAAGACGACTAGCTTCGGGGTTGCTGGAGTGTTTGGAAGCCTGGAAACCATGGGCAAGAAAAGGCTTTAAAAGAAGAAAAACAGAGGCCGTTATAAGAAGGCCCTGGTACTGGCTGGAAGGAAGTAGAACCACAGAGCTGGAAGGGACCAGCCCCTGCCCTTTGTAGAAAAGAAGACTAGAACTTAGATAGGCCGAGGGAAGACTTTAGGGCACTGTGTGTGTTTTGGGGAAGGGTATCTTAATTTACTCAAAGCCTTGATTAATTAGACCAAGTTAGGACAATCAAGACTGAGAAGCAAGAATAAGACAGCACTGGACACCTCTGAGAGGAGGAATTATTGGGGAAACCCTAGTTTGCCAATATTTCCTTAAGTCGTAAACTGGACCCCACTGGGCCTGCTCACAGCCTGGCTCCCACAGTAATGTGCAGCCCGGCTGTTAACACTTGAGCAGAATCAAGGCACAGATGTAGAGCAGGTCACATTCGAGACTCCCCGACCCCATGTGTCAACATCTCAGAGGTACTAGGAGCCCTGCCTAGTTACCTGCCCTTCAAAAAGGGGAAACATCCAGCTCAGCCCTGCACACAAGCTGACGGAGCCCAGCGAGAAAGGCCGGTGGAATCAGTGCTCACGGAGGACATTGCTCAGGCTCCCCGCCCCCACTTGCATTCATACTGACTCACCTGTGAGGACCTGCACCTGGGAAGTTCAAGGTCAGCCATTAGCCGATTTCAGCAAAGCTGAGTAGGCTCTGTGTTTTCGCAGAGCTCTCGGGGTCCTGCTCTGTTAGGGGTCTGGGACGTGCTCATGGGTGCCTTGAGTGCTGCACAGACTGAGGGAGCGTCTTAGCATGAGCTCCTCTAAAGCTGCTTCCTGCCAGCTCACCTGCCTGGGCAGGAAGAGAGGGTAGATTGAGTTTTCACATGACCTTGGCAGTCCCCACTGCCTGGGGCACAAATCCATTCTGAACTTCAGAGGTAAATTACTTTAGTTGCCTGGACAGGATATATAATCCGCCCCCCCCCCAATATTGCTGATCCCCACTGTCCTTCACCAAAATCATTTGTGCATTGAGGTCCAAAGCGGGGAGCCTGGCCTGAGAAGGAAGAAGATGGAGGACTCTGGGTGGGAGCTTGCTCACAATGGCCTCTGCCCATTTCCACCTGGGTGGCAGCTGTGAGGACGCAGGTGGTCCCTGGCTATGCTTTTTAAGGGTGACATTTGGGTCTAGAACATATTGTCAAGTATCAGAAAATCCTAGGAGGAAAAAAAAAATCTCTTTTCAGGGCTTTTCTCAGCAGAATCTAGGATTCAGATAACTTATGGACAATATTCTCCAGGACAATTTTCGAACTCGTGGGAGCTTTGTCCCATAATGGACACAAATTGGTCGTGTCCCACTGCAGCGTGACTCCTAAGCACCCCTAGTGATAATGCGCCGTCCTCCAGCACCCAGCTGCTGTTCACCCCGAGACTGCATGACTACCTGTGTGGGGCAGGCACTGTGCTGGGCAACAGAGACACAGTCTGAGCCATCTAGGGAGGTGGTAGTCTGTGGGAGAGAGTACGTCATCAGCAGACGCCACACGAGTCACCAGCGGTAGGTGATAGCCAGCAAGAGCAGGTGACAGCAAGTCCCGGCCAAGTGCCAGGACTTGAGGGAATAAGGGGCTGCAAGAGGCAGGCTGCTAGCCAGCCCTTACTCATTGCTCGTGGCACCTCATTGCTGAGAGAAGCAGTGACGAGGCCCTGTCCCCAGGCAGGATGGGGAAGAAATGAGATATTAACACCATCTGCATTGTAGGTGCCGGTCATCAGACAAACCACTATGGGTGTCAGCTTCAGAAAGACATTTTTTTCTGCAGGGCGTACCAAGAGGATGGACGGCACTTCTCCATGCAAGCCCACAGCCACCTGTACGTACAAGGCGGTGGTGCCTCCAGGGGCACAGGCTTTTGGGAGCCGGACCTGTGGGTGATGGTCGTGAATCAGCCACATGTGTGTCTCCTGAGACTTGATGGACATCAAATACAGAGCCCTGTGGCCCTGGAAGGCAGGCAGGACATGCTGTCAAGCGGGGTACCCCAAGGTCCCCAAAGTTCACGGCGCACAGAGCTACCTCACTCGGCCAGGTGGGAAGCAGGGGTGGCTGGGCCTGGGAAGAGGCACAGGGGTGACTCTGGGTGGCGGTTGCTCCCTCTCCCCTAGAAAATCCAGCACTTGGATGGAAACCCAGACACAGGACCCCTGCTAACTGTGCCAGCAGAGCGGGCTGCTGTGAGTGTCCTTAGAGCCATGAACCCAGGCGCCAAGGAACCCAACAATGCACTTCCCCAGTTGGAGACCAGCTCATTTTAAGGGACGCCAGCCTGCCTCCCTTGCCAAAGCAAATGCCTACAGTGCAAGATTCTCCCCCGCCCTCCCCCGACTCCAAGTTTTAAAATTTTAAACCTAGCAAAACAAAAGAAATCTGGGGCCTGTGCCCGGCTCCTGCAGGTGTCCAGAACTGGTCCAGGCTATCTCCTGTTTGTGCTGCCCCAGGCAAGGGCACCCAATCAGGGCTCCGCTGGGGGGGCTGGGTCAGCGGGGTCAGCCAATCCCCCAGCTGTCTTTGCTCAGCCAGCTTCCTTGCAGGGACGTTCCCAGATTCTTCCCTGCCATTGCTTCTGCCTGATGCGGCCCAGAGCACCAGCCCCCGAGAGTCCATGCTCAGGTGAGCAGGAGGGGTGCGTGGATGTTGGGAGACCCTGAGTCAGTGCCCTTCCCGGATGGGTCCTGGCCCTTTCCCTCTGCAGGCAGGGTCTGACATGCCAGCCAGCCTGCTACTAAACGCACTTGGCTTTGGGGTGGGTACTCCAGACACCACAAGGAGAGGGTGTGGCAGTGCTCTGAAGGCTGGAGCCTTCACCAGCCTTGCCGGTCTAAAGCCAACAGTGACCCCTTCCTGAGAATGCGCTCTGTGGCCAGGCAAAGAGTCACCTGTGCTTCAAGGGACCGGAGTGAGCTTTGTGCTGTCAGAACTTGACCTTTCTACTCCAGGTGCGTCTCCTTGCCGCGCACACCTTAGTGTGTCCCCTGGACACTCAGTGCACATCATTGTATTGTTAGAGTCCTGGGACTTGAGCCTCTGAAACACAGTTGTCCCTCACTCAACAGAGCCCCTGTGACACTTCACTCTAAGTCTGCAAAGGTCACACGTGGTTTCGCCCTAGTTCCCCTTTCCACCCACTGGTTTCCAAACTAAAAAGATAACTGAGTCTATTTTTCCTGTTTGTGTGAGGAGTGGAAAGCAGCGTAAGGAGAGAGGGGGAAGAGGACACGCCCAGACGATGGATGAGGTGCGTGTGCGTTTGGGAATCGCGTCGGGATCTCTCCCTCGGACTCCTGGGAAGTTCGTCTCACCCCAGCACAGGCACCCACGGCGAGGCCACACCTTGGCGCTGTCTCCCCTGACATTCCCTGCATCCATAGCCCACTCTGAGCAGATGCGTCTCACACGCACTAAACCAGCTCTACCACCTGCCTTCGTCCTTTGTCCCATCTCTGACATGAGTGGTTCTCCTCACCAAGCCCAATGCCCTCCCTGGCTCTCCAGACCCCCACCCCCATCCCTAAGAGCATATGCCACCCCCACCCCCAGGTTCATACTCTTGTTCTCACTGTTTCCTTCCATTTAGCTTGTAAATGTCACTTGCATTCTCTCACCTTGAAAACCTCCTTAGCTAATTACTGCCTTTTTTCTTTCCTTTTCTTATCCTTATTTCATGATAAGGTGGTCTCCACTGGCCGCCTCCACGGGCTGTCTGCATGCCCACCTGAGGTGTCCTGTCACCAGCTTCCACTTCCACCAGACCCCCACCCCGATGTCTCTCCTGAAGGCCACCAGTGGCTGACTAGTGGCCAAAACAAATAGACATTTAGTTCTAGTAACAATAATCACCTTTGATTATAGATTTTCTCCATGCCAGCCTCTGGCACAGGGCAGCTATGAGCTCTACTGCATTTCCAACCTTTACAGGGTGCTCTGCCATGCTGCTCTGTCCCCTGCGCCCCACCGCCCTCGCACACCTCCGCTTTGGCCAGTCCCCCTGGAGCCACCGGAGCCCGCTGCCACAGCCCCGTGGCCTGGAGACACTTACACAAGCAGTTTCCTGCTCGTGGGGCTTCTCTTACCTGTAGTGGGACCTCTGTCTCCATTTCAATTCCCACTCCCAAACCAGAAGTCTGCTCTTCTGTGTCAATTAGTACGCTTTCAGTTATAATTAACAGAAACCCAGTTCACACAGACTTAACCCTAGGGAGTTGGATTACGGTACAGGGACTCCAGGTCTGCAGGCTTCAGTGGGTTTCACCTGGTGGCCCAGGAATGCTCCCAGGGCCCTGGCTCTGTCCCCTTTGTCTACTCCGTGTCACCCAGTCAGCTTCATTGTGACACATTCATTGTGACACCAAATCTTCCCTCCCAGCCTCCCAGAGTGGCCTGTTTTCCTCTTCCTCTACCTTTTCTTCCTCCTCTTTCTCCTCCTCCCCCTCCTCCTCCTCCTCCTCCCCCTCCTCCTCTTTCATTTATAATTACTCCCTTAATCGTTCACTGATTCAGCACATATTTGTTAAATGTCTACTGTTCAGGTGGCCCCACATTTTCTTATGTCTAACGTCACCTGACACGCAGCAGGCACCTAGTTCATGTTTGTTACAACAAAAACTGAGATCGGGGGCTGCCCATCCATGTGTAACAAATGCTGCAACCTGTCCTGAGTGCCCCTTTATTGTGGCGCTGCTTCCAGGAGGATACGTGAGTTCTAGAAAATAGTGTATGTTCCCCTCCGGGCTCCTTTCTGCACAGGTGCTGACCACCTGGTTTCAAACCCAGCATTCTGACTCACATGAGCTATTTAACCTCACGGTGCCTCAGTTTCCCTCTATATAGAGGAAGAATGATATCTGTGCTGGCTTCGTAGCGCTGCTGTGAGAACTGAGTGCACACAGGGACACACTTAGGACAGTGCCTGGCATGAAAGTAGCCACTCAACAGAAGTTAGCTCCTGCTGCCATCACATACTTGTCTAGGTTGGGGCGCCCTTCCCGATCCTGGGTAGGGCTGTGGCCAGTTTCTAAAATACGGCCGGGCATAGGCCCCGCTCCACACACAACACTGACACTGTGGTGACTCACGCATCTGACTCACTCATACGAGACTGTGTTTTCAGGTGCCACGCTCTGGTGGCGTACGCTCTCTATACATGGCCTGTTCAGGTGTTGGCCTTTTCCTTAGCAGTGTCACCAGGTAATCAGCATTGGGTGGAGCCTGTGGAAAGGGAGGAAGGCAGGCAGGGTCCAACTCAGGCCACAAAAGGGCAAGGATGCTCTGAAGCCAGTTTAGGTCAGTTCTCCAGCTCAACGTGACGTGTGTGTGCATGTGTGTGTGTGTGTGCATGTGCATGTGTGCGCGCATGTATGTGCGCATGTGTGTGTGCATGTGTGTGTGTGTGCATGTGTGTGCGAGTGCATGGGCTGTGAAGAACAGGAGTGAGGCGGGCGGTTCCTGTCCTGAGTGAGCTCAGCACGCGTGGGTCCCCCAGGGTCCCAGAGAATCTGACTGTCAGCTGCACTCACAGTGAGTTCCCCTTTCACCTGTGATACTTATGCCCCCCGCAGAGCTGGGGCTCTAGGGGTGTGCCTCGGTCTCTACTCTGCGCCCCTGCATCTCCCTGCTCCCACTTCCTCTTCCTCCCATAAGCCACGCTGCATCCTGTTCCTCATCTTCGCTAGTTCCAGGAAAATGGACGAGGTGCTTAGTGTCAGCCTAGACACCTATCTGCTCACCCAGCTTGTCCCAAGGCTGCTTCCATGCACTGCTCCTTTCCTCCGAAGTGGTTCACTTTCAAGTTCATGTTTATCTGTCCAAAGACAGAAAAACACGCAGCTAGCCTCTGGGGCAAATGAATGTGACCATTGTCTGTGTAATAAAACAAACTTTCAAAAGCAGGGCTCACGGAAGCCAGCTCGGCGGAGTTTCCTGATCCCCTGCCCTGCAGGGGTGCAGCTGCCCCTAGGAGCCTGCCCCGCTGCAGAGCCAGCCCGGGCCACCAGGAGAGGGGACACTGGGTTCAGACTGGTCCACATGCTCCTGGACATGCACTTGCTGCCACCAGCCCCCCTCCCTGGGTGCTCAGTGCCTGGCTGGCAGGCTTAGTCCCAGCTGTCAATGCCTCCCCAGAGCTCCCAGGGGTCGTGAGAACGGCCCCCTGCATGGGGGCGGGGGGAGGCGTTGAGAGGAGGAGGCCAAAGCTCTGCGTGGCCCCGCTCTTAGCAACAAAGTCTCAGGCTCTGTGAGATGCTTGACCACAGTCTGACAGCTCCTTCCATGTAATTCTGCAAGTTAAGACCCTTGCTCTGGCGCCTTCTTTGTCGCTGGCCCCACCTTACCAACGAGACCCGTTGCTATTTGTTCTATAAACCAACTCCCTGGGTAAAGTTTGGAATGATGGGAAATGTCTAAAGGAACAACTATACAAACACTGTCACCCTCATCCAGGCCTGGCCTGGGGAACGTGACAGCCCTTGGGAATGGGGACATCTCCTCCCCAGTGTGCTGCCCCCTCGGAGAAACGCTCAGGAACTCTGGGAGCGTTCCCACAGGGCCCCCTTCCTGGCCCCTAAATGAGCTGGTCCTCACCCTAGGCCCAGAGCCCAGCAGAGGAGCCAAAGCAGCCTGCTGTTGTTCCTTCATGGAGCAAGAAGCAATCTGTTTGACTTGAGCTGCTTTGATGTTACAGCTCCCAGTCCTCGAGGCTATACTTGACCCAGGTTCCCAGGAGTAGCCTGCTCCTGGTGAGCCCCAGGTTCCTGGGTGGGAGGGCGGGACCTCCCTCCCTCGGCCACGTTCTGCCCACAACCAGTCAGCTCTGGGCTGAGCCAGCTGCCCAGGCAGCTTTCCAAGGCAACTGTGCAAAGAGCCGAGCAAGCCGTGTGCACTTTCGACCGAGCTTCTGTCTGCAAAACCCTCCTGCGAACACCAGCTCTGTGCCCTTCAACAGGCATTGGCAGGGCTGGAGGAAGTCTGCTTGCTTTTGGTGGTGGGTTGTGGGCCGTTAGTGAAAGAAGACTTTCCAGAGGCCATTATGCTTGATCACGGGTTTGCTAGACTCGTAAAACCATATCGTTTCCACCTGGGTGGCTTTTTTCTTTGCTGGAATCTGTAGGCGAAATTATTTTAAGGCAGGATGAAGTTTTATTAATTATTGTACCCACATAGCCCAGCATATGCTAGATGTTCAATAAAAGATTTTTTGTAGACTGAAGTAATAATGCTGTGTTGAAAAGAGAAAAAACAGGAGAAATATATGGATTTTGGTGTTAAAACTGTTTGAGTTACAATATTGCTGTGTGTCTTTAGACAAACCACTTAACCTCTGAGCTATGGTTCCCCGTTGGCACAATGATTATAATAACACAAAATTCACAGTACTGTCATGAACATTGAATGATACAGTGTCTTTAAAGTGTCCAGCCGGTAGGAATTGTTCATGGAGTAAAATTTCCCAGCAGCCCTGGGTGCACTGTTAGGATCTCATCATGGTCATCGTGTTGTCATCAGGGGTGGGAGCAAAGTGGACTCAGTGTTTTTCCATTTGGCACTGAAGATCGGTGAAGGCCCAGAAAGACAAAGTCACAGAGCAAGAGTGATTGGAACACTTCCTGCTCGCTATATTCCAACTGAGTGCCTAGGACTGGGCTGGAGCTCTGGAGGACAGAGCCACACCCGCCCATGGACCCGCTGGGTAGGGGAGGCTTAAGCATCAGTAACCAGGGCACTTGAGCACAGAGGCAGGGAAAGGGCTGGGGGCCCCAGTGAGGGGGCGTAACTGGGGTCCGAGTCCTGAGAAGACCCCATTCAAGAGGTGGCATTTGGGGAGGGGCTTCCAGTTCAATAGGGGTCCCATGAGACCTCTTCTCATTCTGGGGTTTCTGAGTCATATCCCGTAGAAGACATGTCCGGGGTGCACGTGTGTGTGTGCAAGTGTGTGTGTGTGTGTTTGAGTGTATGTGTGAGTGTGTATGCATGTGTGTATATCTGTGTATGTGTGTATAAGATCTGACAATTAAGTTCATGAACTTGTTGCAATGATGTTGCTAAGCTTTTCTGATATCAGAGGGATTATTCATTATGAATTTGTATCAACTGGACAAACAGTTAACCAAGTTTACTATTTGGAAGTGCTGAAAAGGCTGCATGAAAAAGTTAGCCGATCTGAACTTGTTGCCAACAATTCATGGCTCACACGGCACTGTCTGTGAGTGAGGTTTTAGCCAGTAAACAAATAACTGTATTGGAAGACTCTCCCTACTCACCTGACCTGGCCCCCAATGACTTCTTTCTTTACCCCAAAATAAAGAAAATGTTGAAAGGAAAACAATTTGATGGCATTCAGGACACCAAGGATAATACGACAACAGCTCTGATGGCCATTCCATAGAGAGTTCCAAAATTTTTTGGAGCTCCAAAATGCTTTGAAGGGTGGACTAGGCGCTGGCGTCGGTGCATAACTTCCCAAGGGGAGTACTTCGAAGGTGACTATAGTGATATTCAGCAATGAGGTACGTAGCACTTTCTCTAGGATGAGTTCGTGAACTTAATTGGCAGACCTCGTATGTGTGTGTGTGCATATGTGTGATGTTTGTATGTGTGTGTGTATCTGTGTCAGTCTGTGTATGTGTGTGTATATGTCTGTGTGTTGTGTGTGTGGTGTGTGGTGTGTGTGTATATGTGTGTGTGTGTATATGTGATGTGTGTATATGTGTGTGTCTATGTCAGTCTGTGTATGTGTTTGTGTGTGTATGTCCATGTGTGTATATGTATGTGTGTGTTGTGTGTGTAATGTGTGTGTGTGTTGTGTGTGTAACGTGTGTGTGTGTATGTGTGTGTTGTGTGTGTATATGTGTGTGTGTGATGTGTATATGTGTGTGTGTCTGTGTCCATCTGTGTATGTGTTTGTGTGTATGCCTGTGTGTGTATATATGTGTGTGTGTATGTGTGTGCATGTGTGTGTGTTGGAGTGGAACTAGGCAGCAGATGTGAGGCCTTGGAGAAACCACGTTCCCTGCTTGACCCACACTGATTTCCAGGGCTGATGCTGGCTCTGAGGCACCTTTGTTTGAATTAGGAAAGGTGCCCCTCTCACCGGGTCATGTAGAAAAGGCCCTCTCCTTCAGGCCAGGCACACATTGGATTTTGAGGCCCATTCGCC